TCAGAGAATTTAAATCCACTCTGCAAAAAGGACAGCATAGGCTTGATTTTGCAGGTAGGAATTCCAAACCAAAAAAGAAAAACGTGACAAGATCCATGCAAGTGTCGCTATAAACTAAGACCACCTGCGAGTTTAATGACATTCCATCTCTTTCATTCAACAGTCCAATACTGCACTTTCCTTGTTGCACCATCTTTTCCCTTACTAGAGAAAGGCAGGCCACACCACTACTCAAACTGTTACATAGTCACTCTATACAATACCGTATTTTAACATCCAGACCTCTCCATACTATCCCCATTCTGTAATAAATTCTAAATCCTACTCCTGAATAGAAACAATTGACCCTACCAAACGCACAGAGAACAGGCACATTTGAGATCTATGTGTTTATAACAAGAGAACTTGCAGGTCATTTTTAAGTGTTTCCAAAAGACTAAAGATGCAAAAGCTAATTAGGACATGGTAAATAAGCACACCATCATGCAATAAAAATTCTGGATTGGTATGTCTAAAATTATTCTAGCTCCAAATAATCCTCTTCTCCTGAGACCAGGGGTACATGTTGGTCTCACTATTATCAAGGGAACAAAAACATATGTCTCTTTCTACTTTCTGACAATACTGGTTTTTCCTAAAACAGACTTGAGACCTGCAATATCACTTTCATTTATGAAGATGCAACTGCAGATAAACATCAAATTCAACGAAACTACAAAATAATGGCCCTTGAACTATCATCAAAGGCATACAGGAACGCACAAGTTTCTCAGAAGATACTACACAAACGGTTTCATTTACTATTTTGAACCTCTTTTAGATGTAAATACACAAAGTTTAAAAAGTTGTCTGGTACAACTATCATTTAACTACATTAAAAATGTTGGTCAACTACCTGTTTTCCCTGGCTTGTACAAGGACTGTGGATGTATCTATATTTGACTCTGACATTATAACCTAGTAGTTGACGGCTGGGGGTAAGAGGAGGAAGAAGTGTCTATAGTTCAGTCTTAATGGATGTCTTCTCACTTCCCATCCTTCCTTTCAGATATTTTTAAGAAATACCAAAACCAGTATAAAGTCAGCAATGTCCTGGAGTGGAAAAAGAGTTACCACGGCTTAACACTGCAGCCTGAATATGACCCAATTATCAGAGAAACAGAAGTTACATTAGTACCAGAAGGGGGGG